AGTGTAATGGAAATAAGTAACGAATTTTAAGCAATAATAGAGCTTTACAATATAAATTATAGAAACGAAAAAAGTTAGAATATTGAAAAATGTGACTAAAAAATGTCAGTTTAAAAAAAACAAAAATTTCGTTGAATGAAACCAGGCTCCAGTTTTAGAAACACTCAGTATATTTTCGTTGATGGCTGGCAAAGTTGTAATCCGATCAAGAAAAACAATTTAAAATGTAAAATTTTGATATATTGAACACCTAATTTAAGACTGCAAAACTCAATAATAATTATTATTAGGTGATGATGAAAAGAATTTAACACCCCTACTTTTTATTGTAATTTTTCTTATTATTATTAAAACATACTATTTCAAAAAATATTATTAGTATTGTCAATTTAAACATCATTTTTGATCACTCTATTTAAAAAAAAAATAACCATTTTTTTGACTAAAAATAATTTGTTTCGTTTTTTTTAAATAAATTTGTTAATTTAATATTTGATATTAAAATTAAAAAAATATACAGAACCTAAAAAAAGCAAAGTAGGTATTTGTTTCGTAATGTTTTACTCAGTATTTTTGGCTCTTTCTTTATAACTTGAAAACCGCTCTTAAAAAACATTTCATTTTTAAGAAATATTTTTTTTTATTAAACATTTTTATACATAGTGTAACGGAAATAAATGACGAATTTTAACCAATAATAGAGCTTTACAATTAACTTAAAGAAACGAATAGAGTTTGAATATTGAAAAATGTCAGTTAAAAAAAATCGTTAATTGAAACCTGGCTCCGGTTATAGAAACACTCAGTATATTGTTGATGGCTGGAAAAGTTTTAATCCGATCAAGAAAAACAATTTTAAATGGAAAATTTTGATATATTGACCTACTTTAAGACTTAAGATGAAAAGAATTTAAGACCCCTACTTTTTTATTGTAATTTTTCTTAATATTATTATTATTATTATTATTATTATGTATAATATAGTTAGAAAATTAGTTGATCGTTTATGTTTTTGATGACAGTTAGATTACACAATATTTTTATAAAAAAAATGGCCATAAATAATCTTTTTTTGCATTCATTTTGCCTAAATAGTTTCTTTTTACGATTGGGAGTGTCCCGGGTCGCGGCCCTAATTAAGGCCGGGCCTTCTCCCATGTCGCAGCATCTTCATCACGTTTCACGATTCATCGTTTTTTCTGCGAAATCGCGTAAACGAAGAAATTTTTGTCAAGTTTTATTCGTCTGCCATAACCCATTTCTTCGAAACGTGTGTTAGAATCGGTCACGTGAACCGCTTCGTAATTCGCACAATTAACATGTCTGCGATTAGTCATGAATGCCAGACATCCTCAGTCCGACCCTGTCCTTGGCGTGCGTTAAAAATAAATTTGACTGTTTTCGTCTAGTCACTATTATTGCATAGATAGCAATATAATGTTCAAAACACGGGTTTAATAACCAGTGGATATGCACTTTGCACGTGACGTCCGCGGATGTGTTTGTCTCCGTCTAACACACACGAAARAGGGTCGAATTGGAGCGAGAGCGAATTTCGGCGTTGAATTCGGCGCGATGCATTTGACTTTCGCAAAGTCAAACCGACAAGGATGGAAAAATGCAATGTATCTGGTCCTAATCATCGACGAAGAAAGAAGTTTTGTTTTGTTTAACGGGGCCGTTGCACTCCGCAAATAAGAATTCGGCGGGGTCAATATTAGCACTGACTTAAACCATTCACACGACTTTACTAATATTTTCACAAATCGCTCTAATACCATTCATTAAACACACGCGATTTGTGCCCCCAAGGGCCGCGATTACACATTTTCGCACATCAAAGCTTTCAACGATTCGATTTTATGATATGTTAATTAATAGAACAACTGAGTACGGCCATCAGCAAAAGTACTGTCACTGATTGTGACATTTGCAACAATTATTTCACGGGCTACGTACAAAAACCAGAAATTTTTACATGGTTTGTTATTTTTTTGTGTATTTTTTGTAACAAAAAGCATTAAAATAAGGGTGTGGCAGAACAGAGAAAAAAATAAGATGAGACACCAGGAACATGAAAAAAAAATTAAGACATTTATTTTTTGACATTTAACATTTTTTTATGTCTACTTAATGAAACAGATTTTGCATTTGGTTTTTTTATAATTATTTTGTAAAGGTACAAAAATTTTGTCAAAAAAAGCCACAAATAACATTTAGTATCCAGCTGCCTTGTTTCTCCTTCTAATAGCCTGTAGCAAAATTATTTTTTCAACAAAAATAGAGTCAAATTGCAAAATTGAAACTCTCATAACTTGGAAATTTTTATAGATAGAATTTTTCTCTGGGGTGCGAGTTCTGGCGCACTCTGTATAATGAGATTTTTAAATCGATAATTTAATTCAAGTAATTTATGATAAATTTTATTCAGTTACATTTGATTCTGATCAATTTTCTTGAATTTTATTGAATTTCAATAATGTCTACTCAATTCTACTTATTGCGTTTTGTTCAATTTTACACATTTCTACTACATTCCTACTAGTATTTACATTTCTACTAGTATTAAATTCAATTTTGTTCAATTTCACCCAACTTACTTCATGTCTATTCAATTCTGTTCAATGTTAGTTAATTCTAGACAATTTTATTAAGCAATGTCAGCTTAATTTTTCTCAGTTCTATTCATTTTTATTTTCTTAAATTTGATACAAACTTGTTTACTTCTATGTCATTTTATTCAATTTTTGTATTTTCTGTTTAATTCTGTTTGGTTCTGTTGAATTCTTTTATTTTTATATTTATTGTTTACTCAATTTTATTTTATTTATTTCTATTTAATTTTACTTAGTTCAATTTATTTATTTTCAACTTCATTCAATTTTGCAACTCTGTTCTTGTTTATTCAATTCTGTTCAAATTTACTTAACTTATGTCAATGTTTCTGTTTAATTTTATTTAAATCTAAAAATTTCGATTAATTTTTTTGCAGTTCTACTCATTTGTATTCTTCTAAATATATATTTACAATTAAAACTTTTATAATTTTACCTACTTCTATTCAATCTTATTCATTTCAGTTTAATTCTGTTTGGTTCTAATAATTTTTTTTTTTTCATTCATTACTCAATTTTATTTGATTAATTTCTATTCAATTCTACACAATTCACCTCAAAATCCTGTTTAATTTTACTCAAGTTTACTCAATCGTACTAATTTCTGTTCAGTTGTGTTAAATTTTAGACATTTCTACTAGTACTGAATTCAATTTTGTTCAATTTCAATCAACTTTGTTTATGACATTCAATTCTGTTCAATGCTACTTAGTTCTAGTCAATGTTTCTATTCCATTTTATTGCAATCAAGCAATTTCAGCTTAATTTTTTTCAGCTCTACTCATTTTTTTAAATTTAATTTAAATTTGTTTGATTCCATTTTTTTATTATTTTTTGTTTAATTCTGTTTGGTTCTGTTGAATTCTTTTCTTTTTTTAATTTATTGTTTACTCAATTTTATTTAATTTATTTCTATTTAATTCTACTCAATTCGATTTATTTATTTTCAACCTTATTCAACTTTACTTAACTCTGCTCATGTCTATTCAATTCTGTTCAAATTTACTTAATTTAATTCAATGTCTCTGTTTAATTTTACTTAAATCTAACAATTTCTATTTATTTTTTTACAGTCATTTGTATTTTTTTAAATATTTACAAATAAAATTTGCGTAATTTTGTATTCAGTTTTATTAATTTCTGTTTAATTCTAATAAATTCTTATCTTTCTTCATTCATTACTCAATTTTTTTTTATTTATTTCTATTTAAATTCTATACAATTCGCTACAAAATTCTGTTCAATTTTACTCAAGTCTATTCAATCGTACTAATTTCTTTTCAGTTGTGTTCAATTTTGAACTGTTTACCTATTTATATTCAATTTTGTTCAACTATCTACTTATTTTTATTTAATTCGCTTTAATTCTTTCTGTTCTGCTTTTTTTGTTTAATTTTATCATTTGTAGAGAAGAGATTTCCTAATTTACCTAATTCATTTCATCTTTATCGTTGCATTATTTTTAACATTATGTTTTTGTAACTTTTTTTGGTAATAAACATTATTATAATTTATTTTTAACCTTGTTACTTTTTATTATATTTTATTGAATTACATACCTATATTATGTGTTTATATTTCTATTTATTACTTTCTCAAATGTTTTCATTTCTATTTATTTTTATTTAATTCGGTTTAATTATTCTGTTTTGCTCAGTTCTTTTCAATTCTACCAGTTTTATTCAAACTTGTTATTTTTCATTACATTTTATTCAATTGTATTATTTCATTATAATTTTTATTGAGATTAATTTTGCGTAATTTTATTTTATTCTATTTAACCCTATTAATAAGTTTAATTTTCTCATTTTTATGCATTTTTTAAACTGGTGCATTTTTTTTTATTTCGATTTATTTTTATTTATTTATTTTTACTAATTTTTATTCAGTTTTACTATAGTATATTAAAAAAACAAAAAACAAAACATCTTGAAGAACGAATTCAAATTTAATAAACGAGTGATTTAGCCACGAGTTATTTTAAAAAGTGAGTACTTCAAGGTCTTATGAAACAAGTTTTTTATACTATTTTTTGTAATTTGCTTTTTTTATACTCTTTTTAAATAAAATTTTTTACTTTTATCGATTTAGAGATTGTGACATTTCATGTCTTAAATTGAAAAGTCAAAATTTGATCTAGTCGCCTTTTGACTAATAAGACATCGCACATGATGACGTTGCATTCTTTTATGTCTATTAGAAAATCAAAATAGAGGCAAATTAAAAAAACTCTGTTTAATTCAATATTTTTATTCAATTTTATTTATTTAATTTTATTCAATTCTATAAATTTTTGTATCTGGTTTTTTTCTATTAATCCTTTTTCTGTTTTTTTTTTTTTAAAGAATTCAACAGTATTTCTTTGTTGTGTTGGCAGAAATGCGAGACGCATCTGGCCATAACCACCGAGGAAGTCGAAGTGTGTGACGACACAGGTGTCAGCCAAATAAGGAGCAACAACCATTCCAGCACCAATGGTAGCATCATCACCATGACGCTGAAGAACAACCATCTGATTGTCGAAACGGAGGAGCGAAATGTAATTTGAAAAAAGCGCGACTTTTCCACCCGGAAGAAAACATTGTATTTTGTTGTAGGACATCGAGGAGGATAGTCGGGAGACAACGATGAAATACTCGCCGGGGGCTCGAGATGGGGTGTTTGTGGTGGAGGTGCAGCAGGGGGTTAGGAGGAGTCCCGGCTCGGGGCCACAGTCGGGGGCTGATCCCGAATTGTCGGTCTCCGTGAGCGATCAATGTGCTCTGGTGCATAATCCTCCAGACAGGTTGGGTTTTTGAGGATAGTTTTTTTGCATTGCTAAAAAATGTCATAATTATGAAAGACTTGGTTTGGCACTTAAATTACTGTAATTGCGAAACGATTAAAATGGAATAAAAAAGTGCCGAGAGGGAAAAACAATCTGAAATTTTGGGAAAAGTAACGAGAAATAAATTACGTTAAAAAATTAAAAGAAATGAGGCGACAATTATTTAAATATTACCAACTTTGAAATTTACAAATTTAAGTCAACGGAAAACGTGAATAAATACATTTTTTTTGTTTTTCTTTATTTGTTATTTCTACCTACCTAACCTCCCACTTCTCACTAGGGTTTATTTTTTTTTACTTCACTTTGTTCGACACACAACTTCTAAATTTAACGAATTCACAAGAATAAAATTAAAAAAATTAAATAAAACGGAATCATGAATAATGGTTTTCGAAATGCCAAGATAAACAGGATGTTTTCTTGATATTGTCTAAAAATTGCAACCACATAACACTAATAAAAAAATTAATAAAACAAAAAACGCCTCTACGCACGCCACTGATAAGCGAATAAAATAATAGAGTTACTGCCGAAAAATAAGCGCTTTTAGATCACAAAGCTTGTAAAATTTTATGAAAATATGTATAATAACTCAAGTGGTTTCGGAGAAACTAATGGATTTAAATTTTTATCACAAAACTTTATCACCCTGTATATTTGTAACAACGCTTTATAGGACTATCGTTCATTTGACAAATTAGAGTTATTTTTCAATGTAGAATATGTGGTGGCAATTTTTTGCAATATTAAGAAATCACCCTGTATTTATAATTTTTCAAGTTTTTAAAACATCTTACTTTTCTAAAAATAGCTTAAATATCTGGATTTGGCATAAGTGCTTTTTTTATTTACACATCATAAAATTAATTTTTATCAGTAGTCTACCTATTTCTATTAATTCTATTCAGTTCTATTAATTCTGTTAATTCATATTATATTTTTCTTATAACTTTTTATATTTTTTGTTTATTTTTAATTATCACTTATCAGTTCCTCTCAGCCTTATTTATTTCTATTCAATTCGGTCTGCTTTTACTCAATTGTAATAATTTTTATTTATAAATTAGTTTAATTTTATTCAGTTCTATTAATTTTTATTTAATTTCTTTCTGTTTTGTCCATTTTCAATCATTATTTGTATATTTTATTTATTTCTGTTAAAATTTCTTTTTATGTATTACAGTCGATTTTTTTTTTTCTATTTACTTTTGTTTAAATTTGTTCAATTTTATTTAATTCTGTTCGTATTAAATCTACTTAATACTATTCAATTATATTCAATCCTCACAATTTTCGTTCAGTTCTTTTCTTTCTACTTAATTTTATTTAATATTATCTTTTTGATCCTATTTAGTTCTATTTCCTCATTTCTATTCAATTCTACTCTTTTATTGAGTACTATTTAGTTCTACTCAATTCTATTAATTTTTTTTCTAATATTATTCAGTTATTTTTTTATATTACCTACTGATTTTTTTACAGTCCCATTAATTTCTATTTAATTTTGTTCAGTTTTATTTGATTTTACTTATTTCTTGCAATCCTATTCAATAATATTTAATTTTGGTCAATTTTAGTCATTATATTTATCTCATTTTACTCATTTCTATTTATTTATTATCAAATTTTAAAAACGATTTATTTTTATCAATTTTTTGTCATTATATTTTTTTTTATTATTTTTTATACAAGTGCGCCAGAACTCGTGCTCTTGAGAAAAATACAACCATGTAACGTAACATAAAAGAAATGTTAAAAAAATTAAATTCTATCTATAAAAATTTCGAAGTTATGAGAGTTTGTAACTCTGTTTAATGTAGTATCAGTATCATTAAATAGACATAAAAAAATGTCAAATGTCAAAAAATAAATGTAAAAATTTTATGAGAGATACAATTTTTTATACACTTTTTTCATGTTCCTGGTATTTTACTAAAAATTTTTTTTGAGGCGCCAATTCTGACACACTCTGTATAGTTCATACTTTTATACATTTTTGATTCTATTACTTTTATTAAATTTGGTTTAATTTTATTCGATTTTACTCATTTCTATAGATTTTATTAAATTAACTCTATTTCTTCCTATTTAAAATTTTTATCTATTAATTTTTTTGTTTAGTTACAACATAACAATTTGTTTTTATTGCTAATTTTAAATTTAAAATTTAATATTGACATAATGTTTATTTATGTCTATTGCGTTGTATTTAACAAAAAATAAATATAATTTATATGTTTTGAAAACGAAATGTTGTTAATTTTTTGCAATTTCTTCTCTTATCTGTAACCCCCAACAACATTTGTCTTTCTGGAGTTTTAAAACAAGGAAAAACACTATCAAAATGTATACTTAGTATTTATTCACTTGGTAAAAATTTCAAATCTGAGAAGTGGCAACGGAAGTAAATATGGGAACAACAACTGACAAGGATTTAATCCAAACTTAAGTAAAGTAAATAGACTGATAAGAAAAAAGTATGAATAATTAAGATTATAGCTAAATCATGCTAGTAAATAAGTAAAGTACCGTGACCCTAGTTAAAAAAATTAAATGTACAGGGTGCTGCATTTTAGATGTCCGAATAGGGAACTTCCGAAACTAAGAGGTTTAGCCAAAAACGAGTGATACATTCTGGATCTCATTTTTTGAGAAAATAATATTGGTTAAAATCGCATCCCGCTATCGTCTTTTGTTTTCGACTTACAGACAAAAATTGACATTTTAGCAAATTCTAAAAAAATTCATATCTTTGTTATTATAGAAAATACAGATTTGAAACAAAAACATTATACAGGCCCTTTTTACGTAGAATTTAATAATGTAGTTAACAATGTTTTTCAGTTATTGGTTTAGCCGTAATAAGATAAACTTGTATTTTTTAAAATGGAAATCATAGGCGGCTATGGCAATTTTGAAAAGCTTTTTTTTTCTGATCTGAAAAATATATATTTGTAACAGAATATTTTTTTATCATTGTACTTAAAAAATAAAATACATATTTTGTTTGATAATAGTTGGCCATAGAAAAACTATTTTACTCAAAATGTGTAAATAATAATCAATAAGAGTTTTGTGAACTGTAAAATAAACAAAAAAATAGATAAAATTAGAAAAATTTTAAAAATACCATACGGTAGAAGTATTGAACAAATATCCGTGCGCCTCAGAACAAAATTATTACATGTTTTTAAAAAATCCAAAAATAGAAAAAACAAATGTGTCAACAGTCAACACAATTAGAAAAAACCTTTTTTTTGATGATCTAATGGAGGTGGGATAACGTTCCACATATACGGAATTTGGGTATTTGAATAACCATATCGTCATTTTTGTGTCATATAAAATATATTTTTTTGAAGAATTAAAGCGGCTTTTTTTACAACACTCTATGTAATACTAGAAGTTACAATGAAAATGTTAGCTTGCTTAAAAACAAACAAATGTTATTAGTCGCCAATAAGTTGATTTACAATTTATTTTGCATTTTTTTCATTACTTAGTACATACTTAGAAAACTCTTTCATTAGTAATACTGGTTGAATAATATAGTTTAAATCCTTTTAGTTGAAGATGCAACATTTTTTCATGGCCAACTGCAAACAAAAATCAAAAATAATTTTTTGATAAAAATGTATTATAATAATTTGTTGCAAATATATATTTTTTAGAGAAGAAAAAAACAAGCTTTTTAAAAATGACATAGCCATCTATGATTCCCATTTAAAAAAATACAAGTTTATTTTATTACGGCTAAACAAACAACTGAAAAAAATATTAACTACATTATTAAAATCTACGTAATAAAGTCCCTGTATAGTGTCTTTATTTCAAATCTGTGTCTTCTATAATAACGAAGATATGATTTTTTTTAGATTTCGCTAAAATATCATTTTTTGTCTATACGTTGAAACAAAAGACGATAGCTGGATGCGGTTTTAACCAATATTATTTTTTCAAAAAATGAGCCCCAGAATGTGTTACTCGTTTTTGGCTAAACCTCTTAGTTTCGGAGATTCGGACATCCAAAATGCAGCACCCTGTACAGTGCAAGTCAGAAGCAATGTCGTTTCCAGGTACAGCGACGACGAAACATTGGAAGAATGCGACGACTACTACATAGAAACGTCGTCTCCGGCCCGTGCCACCCCCGATTCCCAGYTCGCCCAAATCAGAACCGGCTTGGCCCAATCCGACCCCACCCTCAACGAGCACCCCAGCTACTGCTACAGCACCCAGCAGTGCTACGACAACGGCGTCTACGGCTACCACATCTACAACGGATACATCAACGACGAGCCTCTCCAACGTCTCAAAGACACCACCACCACCAGCAAGCCCAAAATCACCGCCGCCGTGTACAAAAGCCGGCCCGAAGACGACGTCCATATCTTCGCAAATGACATATCGTACACGACGGAACCGGATGTCGGGTCTGGAGAGTACGAAAATAAAGGCTTCGACTAAGATTTTTGGGAGCGCGATGACCCCAAGGTCTTTAAACCTTATTTGAACAGGTTCTCGTCTTCCAAATTCGACAAACCCTTAAAGTGGGAATGCGGCGGGAATTAACTGCATTTTTGCGTTGAGACGACTGCGAACGAAGTGCCATGGAAGGACCAAGTGTAGAAATTACTCTTTTCTAGATGTCTATTGCTTTCGATGTACAAGTGCAAAACATAGAGTGAGAATTTTTAGATTCGGTCGCTTCAGCGGTCTAATCAGCCTTTCATGTTGTACTTCTGTATATAGATCACATATTTGTAGTTTGTAGCGTTTTTTTTCTAATGCACCTCAGCTGGAAATTGCACTTATTACGAACACAAATTCTAGAGAATTTTGTTGGGATGGAAATTGTTGTATTTTTTTATTACTGTATACAATGTAAATAGGTTATGATTACCGTCCGATTTCTCAACAATTGTAAATATGTTTGCGTTTTTTTGCATTTCAAACCACTGGGAACTTGTTTCTGTAGCAGAGGGGGCGAAATTTCACAGGGTTGAAGGACCAAACCAATTTTTGATAAGTCTAGAACACGACCAAATTTACACAAAAACTACACTAGAAGAACTATTTTTTTTTAGATACAAGGTGTCTCAAAAACAATACTGACAAACTTCAGTAGCATGAGACATTCTGTATAGATTATTTTTTTTTTAATATTACTAGAAATTTATTAAAGCAAAAATTTTACTATTTGATGTGCAACACTTCAAAGCGCTACTGGTTCCGTTTTATTGAAATTGTGATTAGATTTATGGTTTCCTCATGGTAATTACACAAACTCAACTAAATTTGTTCACAATTTTGGTACAGCTCAAGCGGATGAGTACTTTTTTTGCCAGATGTACAAAAAATATACGTGAACACAAAAATAATGAAAAGTATTTAGACAAAATTAATGAAGTAGTTATAAATTTGAAATTCGATAGTAGTTTTTTAAAATGTCATTAATGCTGTGTTTATTGTTAGAAGAAAATTTCTTAAAACAAAAAAGAACACACAAAAACGCTATTAATTTATTTTAAATTTAATTAATTAATTAATTGATTAAGTCATATTTCTAAAAATCAATATAATTTCCGATCACCGTCGCCTGTGATTAATCATTTAAGTTGTACTGTACAAAATCTAGAAAGAAGATATAAAATTTAAGAAACCTAATATTTTGTGTCTCTTTAAAAATCTCGAAATTTAACTCACATATAACCTTCTACAAAGTGAATCAAGTTTGTATACAGGGTGATAAACTAAGTTATATTTTTTTAAATAGAACACCCTGTATATTTTTTAGTTTAAAAAATAATGGTACTTTGTGTAAGCTATTATAGGTCTATTTCTTTCCGTTTCGAAATTATTCAACTTTTTGTTATAAAAAAATCGACATTAAGAAAATCATTGCGAAGTCGGCTATGACAATTTTCTGACAAGTTTGTAAATAAAAAACTCATAATAGTTTCCAGTTTTGGCACGTCAACTTTTAGTTCAATCACGCAGACAATTTACAGTGTGTGCCAATATGCAAAAAGTCGAAGATGTAACTCTTTTTTTATATAAAACACCCTATTTTTGTTTCACAATTTTAATAAGCTTTTCAACGATATGCGGTTTCTATAAATAATTTGGACTTTTCTCCAGATTTTGAAAAAATTATTACAAAATACTATCGATACGTGAAAAGAAATACATACTTTAAATGTCGTTTTTTTTGTAATAAAATGTTGAATAATTTCACAACAGAGAGAGATAGACTTATAATAGTTTACGAGTTCCATTATTTTTTTACGTACAAACTAATAATGTAAAAATATATAGGTTGTTCTATTTAAAAAGGTATAACTTGTATACAACACCCTGTGTATAATAAAAATATTTTTAGAATGTGTAATTTAAGTAGATCTACCGGATGTTGAAAACAACATGTGAATATATCAAATAGCAAGAAAGCTATGGACCGATTACACATCACCTCTGAGTCAGCCTGTATATAGCTAGTTAATGTTTTTAGAAAATGTGTTGTGTATTTCATATTAACAAGGCCCTTGTTTTTCTATGAATTTTGGTAAAATTGTTCTATTCTTTCACAAAAGATCTCAAAATTAGTATTTCTCATAAAATCAGCTCTCGACATTTTTTCTAGTAAGCTGAAATACCAATTTAGTGTAATATACAGCGTGGTCCCGTTTTTAGTAGCGAAAATTTGGGAATAGTTAGCACACACAATAATGTGAATTTCTTCTATAAACAACTGTTCAAAAATGGGTCAAAATTTTAAATTTGTTTTCATCTTTTCTTAATATCTCTTAAAGCGAGAGTGCTACGAGCTCCAAATTTTGCAAACCCATTGACTATTATTTTGTAGCAGAACTATTTCTAAATACCAATAACAACAAAACCACTCTGTATACATTTTTTAACTTTAGTTTAATTGGAAAAAGTGTTTTGGGGACAAAGCTTGATTCACCTTGTCTATTAATTTCAATTGTAACACTTTTACAATAATTGTACTTTCATAAATGCTACACGTTGTTAATAATTTTATATTATTGTCGATTGAAATAGAATGAATTATAGTAATTGACAACGTATATCATTCTTCTCTTTGAAGATAGATTTTAAATAGTAATAAAAATAGAAAAAAAAACTAGAATTTGTCAATAAAAGTAGGAAATCTGCTTAAAATTAGGTGTGCAGATCCGATATGGAGTTGTAGATTTTGGAATAAAAAAATAATGGAAGCGTTTCAGTGGCTGACAAATAATTAGAAATTTCTTGTAATTGTGTGGTAGAGTTGCGTCCTGTCGAACAACCCTAATTACGAATCATTCGAGCATGTTGAAAATCTGAAAACGAGCTAAAAACCGTTTTATTTGTTTATGTCTCCACCTCCAGTTGCTACCGAAACGGGTTCGCATCTATTTAAAGTAGTGTTAGTATGTTTTTGCCAAAATTTAGTAAATTTAGGGACGAGTTTGCAAGGGATCAAGCGCTCGGATTTATTTCGGGTCTTAGATGGGCCTTTGCAGTCAGAGAATAAAAAATAAAACCGTGAGAGAAACGCCGTTGTATTTATTTGGAGATCCATCACGTAGCCTTAAAGTGGGTCACCACCCGGCCAATAATTTCCAAATTTAATTGCCGACGAAGAACCGCCAAATCATTCGGTTTCCGAACTTTCCCATTTTGACATCACATGAAAAAACGAGCAAAAGTCCACTGTCTTACCGGCTCTAGTCTTAAGGCCGCTTTTGTTTCGTGACACTTTTAGAGACTTTCGAAACGTAGGAGGGAAAAAAGACTCCGAGGGGAGTGGGAGCCACCAAATGCATGATTGCAGGTTTTGGCCATTCTTTCCAACTACCGTTACCCAGCACAAAAGCTTTTGCTTTTGTTGCACTTGCATAATGAAGACGATTTTAGATGCACATTCCTGCTGCAGCTTTCTACTCTTGTGAAATTTTTGTAAATAAATAAATTTACACTTTGTTTTAATCACACTTTGCGACTGACCTTTACGGAGAAATGTCAATAATAATTAGTGGCCTGAAAAAATATGTGGACACTTTCAAACAGACGAATCGAAAAATTCGAGATTTTTAGAACAAGGTCAAGCTTTGTTGTCAATGAAAACGACTACAACCTGGGGAGGGAGGCAAGGATTGGCACATTTTTCGCTATATCGGACGCTTCCGGAACAAAGACACAAAAATTTATAGAGAGTTTACCACTTCAAGGTTGGCAGAACTCAATTACAGAAAACCAAATGGTCAGAAGTTCAAATTTTAGATAAATAGACAAAAACAAAAAATTGTTACAATTTTTGGATTGGTAGTGGTCATTTGAGCACTCATTTCAGTATTTTAATAATTGAAAGCAGTTTAGCTTTCCACGTTGGCAAAAAAACAAAAAAAAAAAGTTTTCTGCTTCATTCTGTATATTTAGCTCATATTTTATTCATTCGCAAGCCGAGTAATGTAAAACAAAACAATACAAAAATTTCTAGAGAATTTACCAATTTAAGGTTGGCAGCACTCAGCTAGGTCGGTAGTGGTTATTTGAACACTTACTTCAGTATTTTAATAGCTCAGAGCAGATTACTTTTTCACGTTGTCAAAAAAAGAAAATTAAGTTTTGTGATTCACTCTGTATATTTATTCACTCGCGAGCAGTCTAGGTTGGCAGCACTCACTTAGAGAAACAGTTCAAAAATTCAAATTTAAAATAAATAAACGAAAACGAATAATTTTACAGTTTTTAGGTTGATATAGATTATTTGAGCACTCATTTAGGTATTTTAATAATCGAGAACAATTTTTTCACGCTAACAAAAAAATTAAATTTGTTGTTCACTCCGTATACAGGGTGCTCCAGAGCTCGAGCCCCAGAGAAAAATGCCATATAAGGTAAGATAAAAGGAACATGGAAAAATTGTTACAAAAATATAATCTATAAAAATTTCGTATTACGAGGGTTGAAATTTTGCACTTTGACTCTATTTATTTCTGTTGGAAAAATAATTTTCCAAGTTTTTTTGATATAGGCTATTAAAAGAGAAAACAAGGAAGCTGTTATCTTAAATTGTAACTCTGTTCAATGTTATTTGTGGCTTTAATTGGCAAAATTTTTGTACCTTTACTAAATAATTGTAAAAAAACATATACAAGATCATCAGTATTATTAAATAGACATAAAAAAATGTCACGTGTGAAAAAATAAAATAAATTTTTTGACAGATAGAATATTTTAAACATTTTTTTCATGTTCCTGGTATCTTACCTTATTTGAAAATTTTCTCTGAGGTGCGAGTTTTGGCGCACCCCCTGTATTTAGCTCATATTTTATTCATTCGTGAGCTGGGTCACGTAAAAATCTAAAATACGTTCTGTATTTTGAAATAATAAATTTCCATTTCTATTTGCCGTGAAAAGTAAACATAAACTTAATTTTTCTTCGAAATATTTGAGTAAAAAAACAAATGTATGTTATTAATAATTAATCAAGGGTTGCGCTGTTTTACCCTATGAGAAAAAATAACTTCCAATCTGAGTTATTAGTTAGAAAATTAACAAAAACAAAATTCAAGCAATAGAAAATAAAGTTTTGTATCAAAAATACTGAGTTCAAACTTTTCTCTAGTACTTTTTTACTACTTACAATAAAAAAATATGGATTAGAAAATAAGTTATAAATAAATAAGATACAAATCGTGATTATTTGTAATTATGATAATGAAGATAAAATGTTATCTTATTTGTGAGATCCTCAGCGATCTTGATTTCTACAACTTTTAATAAAATACCGTATTTTCAAATAAATTTTAAATTAAGGTGACAATGCCCCTTTATGATTATTCGTAATTATGATAATGAAGATAAAATGTTATCTTATTTGTGAGATCCTTAGCGATCTTGATTTCTACAACTTTTAATAAAATACCGTGTTTTCAAATAAATTTTAAATTAAGGTGGCAATGTTTTTGAAATTGAGTTGGCAACATTAAAAAACATAGAGACAGAAGATGTAAATTTTTGATAAAAAATACACATTTTTTTATTTACCAAGGCCGTAATAAAAATATTATGTCTTGAAGAAATGTTTAAAGCTCGACGTCAGGAGGGCTTTTGATTTTCGAAAGACCATAATTGACTATTATGCCCATACAACGTTTTATTGTATTTTGAATCTAAAATTTTTGCTGAATTTGATGTAAAAACGGGGATCTCTTATTTTGTCGTTGTTATGGGTACCATGTGATTTCGTTTTGTTATAATTGGTTATAAAAAAAAGCTCAAGGAGCTATAAAATCTAAATTATGCGCGCTTTTGGCTGCTTAGAAACAAGTTTATACTTTCAAAATACAATAAAAGTAAAAAAAAGTAAAAAATGCGATAAAGATAAAAACAGTAAAGGGTTTAAAACAAATGACAATCTCGTAGATACGACAAACTTTTATATTTAAAAAATCTAGTAAGCTTAGAAAGTTGGTAAAGTTGCATAATCGGATTCGGAGCTTCAGGAATCAGGAGAGTTAAAATATGGTAATATTTACTATACGTATACAATGTTTAATTAAAATAAGTTAAATTAAGTTAATGGAAATTAAGAAAATATTAATTTTAATACCTATAACACTTTTTTAATACAGAAAATTGATTCCAAATAATTCAATAATTTTATTAACTTAAAAATCTACTAACCAAGCTTAGAGGGTTGTGAACATGTACAAAGTGATGTAATAGAGTGTAAGTTTTTTTCTAACATTCTGCGTACACGTCCATGGCCAACTAAGTATTTGTTTTTTTATTATTTTTTTTTTAATTGGACGACTTTTAAAACAAATTCTTGGTATTTTGATGAGAGATAAGATATGTCTGTGCTATATTGTTACATTTAGAAAAAAATGCTTCTTTCAAAACATGTAAATTTGACCTTTACTACTATTAAAAAACATCAAGTTGGCCATGTATCTTAAAAACAAAAAGTGATGCAAACCTGAAAAACTCATAGTAAATAGATTTTTTAAACGTTTCTACGTGTGCAAAATTTCAGATGATTCTAGTAGGGCGTGTTTAAATTAAGTAATAGTTTTCGAAGTTTTGACCACCCTGTATGCGAAAAATATTTATTCACGCTGTGGAAAATCCAAGCCGGATCAAGGAGTTTCCAAGTCATCACCATGTGACAATCGACCTTCCCTTAATTACACCTTGATAAAGTCTCGGTGGCGAAACGTCGCCCTCACCCCCTAACCGACGTCGAATTCAAACAGAATAAACAATCCCTTGAAAAAAATGGAACCCATACATAATTAAATCGCAAATAGAAACGTCAATACAGCGATCTGCATATCCTCTGTTTAGATGTTGTAACCACGCCTAAATTTTATATTCGCTAATTCTGCGCAGAATTATTAGATTTTTTTGGGTCAGATTAAAAATCTATAAGAAAAAAAGCCAAGTTTTGGGCAAATTGGCCCAAATTGCAATTTTTTCTAAAAAATTGTATAGTTTGGCTATTTATCCGTGCGTAGGTGATTACTACGCATTTAGAAACGGAATGAGAGGGTTGAACGAGAGGGAAGGTTGGCAAGGGACCCAGTGTTAAAAAGTTCCGATCGATATGAATATGCTTTAAAATGTGGATTTTATTTCAACAGGCTGCTGAAGGGGTGGCTTGCAATTCCTCCAAAACTCGGCAAAAGCGCCCCCCGAGAACCCCAACCCCCGCTTGCAGTCACCTGAGACAAACCACCCGACGTATGAGACAAGTGTGATAAAATCACAGGGGTGGGTTGTGAGAAGGTGGTGATTTTTTTTCGCTAGTTTTCGAAAGGGTTAAAAATTGACTTTGGTGGAGTTGTCCTCGTCCGGATGCTGGATGAGTGCGATTCTCCTCTCCTGGTACTTCCGCCCCGGGACTTCCCGCAGTTTACATTTACCCCCGACCCTTCCTGCGCGAGGAGCGCCCCCGCCCCCCAACTCCTACACACAACTTTTGCTAGGGCTCTCTTTGTACATATTTTCGCGTCTCTATTTTGCGTTTTTAGCTTCTCTCTCGATTTTATTCCCTGCAGTATTTAGTGGAGGGGTGGCTGGGGAAGGGAGCTTGTTTTATGGATGCCGGGCCTTGTTTGCCTGATATATGCCGAAGCATTTTTTTAATTTATGACTCTACAATTTTTGACGTGGCCTACTTTGATAATTAGACACAACTTTGACGAATTTATTATTATTCAATTTTCAACTTTTTTCATCAGGGGAGGCTTGCGGTGTGCATACTAACCGCGGCCTTGGAGGAACACGCCAGTATTTAGGCGAAATTTACGCGAAATGCAGGACCGTAATTGGAAACATTAGGGAAGTTAATAACTCTCAGGAAACGACAAGCTTTGGCGGAAATTTCAAGCGGAAAAACCAGTATTATTCGTAACAATGCTGGTTATACAGAGTGGCCACAAAATATTTTTAACATCGCTAAACTAACAATAATAGTGAAAATTGTTGCTTTTGCAGTTCTTCCAATTTTAATTTTTTGCTACGTT